ACCAGTAGAAAAACTGAAATCTTTGTAATGCTTTTCTGGCAGTCCCACCTTATGACTCACTTCAACATTATGTTTTGGTGGGCCACTTCCTTTGGGGTCGGCATGACTTTATTCAAATCAGCTTTCAGTTACAACCTTTGATTTGTCTCTGTGTCTACAAGACTGATAATCTGGTTGCTTTTATCAAACATGCAACACAAGAAGAACGTTAGCATTTAGCATCTCAAAATGTATTTATATGTATATATTTAGTGGCCTAGAGGTTATCAGCCCAAGCTATGTTTTATGAAAACAGCAAAAGGAAACCCTGGATTTTAAGGTTTCCTAGAAGTTTAGGTTACATGTATAAATCATTTTAGCACCAGAGAAGGTGCTACTGCATTCCTTTGCAATGCACTAAAAAGACTTTTTGTGTAAATTTGAACAATGTTATCCCATGCTTTTCAGCTTGTAAAATATGCTAGTTGAATATTGATGGCATATTTTACTTGCATATAGGAGCTAGTATGCTACTATTCTATATGCCAGCTATTTAAATAAGTAGAAATGCGACATCTAACAAAAGATATTATTAAATTAATGCCTTCTAAACACATTTGATTTAGTAGTGAAAACGATGCAAATGTTGTCAAAGAGAAAAAGTATGTGAGTAAATGGTAGAAGTATAATATGTTCAGCGTCCATGTGTTTTGTTGCATATTTACAAAAGAACGTTTGGAACCATTTCTCTGGTCTTGTTCTGCATCACATGCCTGGGCTCTGTGTGAAACCTAAAAATAACAAAACCCATATCTAGATTTGAGAGTAAAGTGGGTTTCGCATGACAGGTTTTTTTTATTTTCTTTAATACTCTTTCTCTCCCGTCTGTTGTCGCTCATCTCTGCTCTCAGTGGGGTTACAGGAAGCTCTCTGTGACTGGCTGATGGGCTGCTTCCTGTTTTGAAGCACACTGGCGGTTTTGATGGCTTGTCTTGCCATGTGTGAGAAAACACAGAGCGCCTGTGAAGCAGACGCCTCGTACAAAGAACAGGCGGGAATGAAACCTGAGTGATGTCGGTGAATGGACAATGATCTTGTATTTTTGTTATTACTTCTGCTTTTCTACTCTGTTCAAACTGTTTTGGCCACCTACTGGGAAATGGTTGACCTTCAGTTTGAGGTCGAGGGTAATTTATTCAGACCAAGAGTCTGCATCGTGCTTTTGAGCTTTCTCACTTTCAGGTTTTTTTATTTTTTATTTTAAAGTTGTCGATCAACTGGAGCTACCACTAAGGGCCGTGTCTGCAACTTATAGCTGAATCCTGACTGCCAAGTGCAGCAGACAAGTGGTCAGCAGGACATTCTACCCTATGATACACAATACTACACACAGTTAACAAAAATTTGGAAAAGGATAAAAAAAATTAAAAAAACAAGAATTGGGGGGGAACATTTCAATAACATAGTTCAGTTATTCTTAATCTGAAAAAGCAAATTTTAGAATAGACGCTCACTAATTTTGAGTCAGTTTAAATGATCTAATGCACAGGTGTCAAGCTGGTGTCCTGTAGTTTTTAGATGTACCACAGGTATAAAACACTGGAATGAAATGACTTAATTACCTCCTCCTTGTGTAGAGAAGTTCCCCAGAGCCTTGCTATTGACCTAATTACTCTATTCAGGTGTTGTGCAGCAGAGGCACATCTACAGGTTGCAGGACACCTGCCCTCAGGGACGGGAGTTTGACACCCCTGATCTAATTGCTTTTGCCTGACATCTGTCAAGGTCCATGATTTTTATTCCATGTAATATTTCCAAACTACCAAATTTGACTTTATAATAAGCAAGGCAAAGGTGTAGAGGCTTTCCATTAGCCAGCTGGCAACAGGTGGGGTTGGGGCTGAAACGGATCCCCCTGTGCTCCATATAGTTGTATTAAACCTTAGTTATTCTGAAATGTGTAATTGATTCCAATTGAAACAGAACGGCATGATGGAACGTTATTGCAGTTTGGAAACTGTCTTCTTGTAGCGTTGATGTCCATTGATAACAAAAGCTGGCTCATATTTCGGCAGCTTGTTTAGAAATTGTATCCTTTACCTCTGCGGGATTTTCATCCCATTACTTATTAATGTAGGACAGTGTGTAACCCACTTGTCAGACAGTTGGACACCGCCGGAGATGGAATTACTTATGCTGTGTTTCTGCTGGGTAATAAATGCTTAGTAATGATGCCTGATGGAGCCACGGAGGTGGCACTCTTCAAACACACGTGAAGAGGAGCCATGGATTAAAACTGACCTTAATCTCCCTCTTGCCAGCAGCGCAAAACTGAAAAAGAATAAAAGTGTGAATGCTGGTGGAGCCGTAAAAACTATGTAGAGGATTGTGATTTTAATTGGAATGGGAGTTTTCCCTCCGATTATTATGCCATTTAAAATGAAGTGGGGCTAACTTTCAGAGCATCACCCCGATTAGCTTTTCACGCTTCCCTTTAAATTACTCTTGTACTTTTTTTTTTTTTTTTGTTTCTCCTACTTTAGAGCAGAAATGAGAAGTGTCGCTGTGGCACTCCAGCAGGATTTTAACGAGCTGAAAACCCATCAGCTCATTTACAGGCCATGGCTTCACATTGCTAATGTGTTAATGCGAGGCTTGTTTTGGGTCCGGAGAGTTGGAAAGTGACAGAATCCATCCCTCCTTCTCTCTATCACGCTGCAATTGAATTGACGGGGGGGAGCGAGGGGGAGGGTACCCTCAGCTCCAGTCTGTCTGTCTCTCCATCACACCCTAAAGGACCAGGCAGGTATATATTTAGAGTGCAGTCGCCACACTAAACCCTCTAAATGTTGGGAGCACTTCTCCTTCCCAAAGGCTCAATTAAACTGTGTGAGAATCTGTGGTGCTGAGCTGCCGTTGCCTCTGTTTTGGGGGGAAGAGTCTCGTCCTTCTCATCTTAATTCATGTTCTTCAGATGAAACGCGACTCTGACCCGCCCCTCTCCTCTTTTTATCTGTTGTCTCTTGTAGCCTTTCATATCCCTCATGTTTCTTTCATATTAACAACTCTCTCATGTCTTCTTTTTTTCCTTCTTTTTTTTTTTTACATGAAAGGCACAAGTGCTCTCGATGTTAATATGAAGCCTTATTTGAATGAAACCAGAGTTATGATGATGGTAGGATACCGTTGAGTGTCTACAGATGTTCACCCTGAACAGGAGAACGCATTAGGCTGATTTATGTGCGCCTCATTCGCCTCCTCAAAACTAAAGTGATGCATCAGACTGTCAACAGGCAACTTGTTGAGTAACCCAAATGTTTAGATTAAAAAGTCATTATTTTTAATTCTGGACATGCATAACGCTTGCAATATTTTGCACCTCTCAGAAACCTTAGAAAGCAAATGTAGCAAAGAATTCACTCTTCAAAATGGGAAGAGCAAGAGTGCATGCTGTGCAAGCAAGACCGATCCACTTTGGTCTTTTTCATTTAGTGACGTTGCAATGAGATGGGTTCTACATCGACATAAACTGAAAGGCCACTCAGAGGAAGAAGCCATTTCTACAAAAGCAAAAATAAAGACTGATTCCAGTTTGCAAATGCAGTCAGACAACATCTGGTCAAACAAATGATCAGATGATTTCTGCCTTTTTCCTCCATTGAGAGGAAAAAGGCAGAAACTTGGGAGCCTGAGAAGAGTAACTTGAATTGTGAAGCCTGAGAGTGGCATCATTGTGTCCGCTGCCGGATGGACTGGTGCACTTAAAAAAATAAAAATAAATAAACGGATGGCATCATCAGCATTAGGTGAAAATACAAACAAAATGTCTCCAGAAATCGCACAAAGTTTAAGCAAAGGAGTCTTCCAATTAGAAAATTACCTTCAGTCTAAATTATTTACAACAAGGTGTTGCAGTGATTGCAAAAAACGTAAACCTTTGTTGGCAGATTTGAGTCTATGACTCAAATGGTTCTGTCAGGAAGAACGGGCCAGAATTTCACCAAATTAATTATGGGAAGGTTAAGGAAGGAATCTAAAAAGGTTATTGTTTAAAAGTACTGTTCCAGCAACTTTGTCAGCTTCTGAATTGAGGTTAAAAATAGATTTTTGATAAATCACTTGTTGGCATCTGGCAAAAGAAAAATTTCCTAGCCCTAACTAACCTAAGACAGAAAAACAACTGTTTTTAGTGCGTATCAACATGTCGTCTAATTTCAGCTGTTCCACTTAAGGAAGAAAAAAAACTTTTAAAATCTTTATTTAGGGAACGTGTAGGAGCGCTAAAAATGACACAAATCAGAATGTAACTGATTCTTGTTCCTTTTTATTTAAATTTTTGAAAATCCTTAGTGAACCACATTTTTACAGTGAAAGAGCTTCTCTATATCTGTTACCCTACCTGCTTGGCTATGTGGGTGTTTTCTATGTCTCCCGATGTAATTACATTACCCTGCTTATCCAGTCTCAAACTAACTTTACTTAGCACTTTGATTTGATTACTTCTGGACAAATGCAGCCACAATTAAATCATTTTTGCCCACATACTACATGTTCTTATCCGTTAGCGCGAGGCTCTTTGCGTGGGCGACGTCTAATAAGTCGATAAATCAAAAAGGACGAGCTGTGATGGCGAGCTCGGATAAACGGATTGAGCGTCGTTGTGTATGGGCAGAATTAGAATGCTGTGCCCTGCTGCCTCCCGTCTAGTCAGGTTTGATTAATGGAGTAGTTTTGAAGGGCAAGAGCAAACAAAGGCTTTTAGTGTGGCATTAGAATAAAAACAATAACAGACCGGCATGAGGAAGCCAAATAATCTGTATGCTTATGTAAGATCATGGTTTTTAATCCCTTGAACTCCATTGCGTGGCTTAAAATACTCTAAATAGGCTGGGCATAGTCTTTAAAGGAATGACTGATTGCCTTGATGTCTCTGTTTGGGCAAATTGTTCATGGACATATTGCCCTATCTGCTCCCCTGCTTATCCCATCCTTTCGTCCCTCCCTCTCTCCTTCCTGTTCAGGACGGCTCACGTGCCGGTCGGGAGAAAAAGAAGACGGTGTCCTTCAGCAGCAGCCTGGCAGAGAAGAAGATCAGCAGCGCTGCCGGGTGTATCCACTCCATGGTGCGTCCGCAACTGTGTGACCTTCCGAAAAGAACAAGTGTTACACGACTGTACATGAAATATTGAATGTTCCACACATGCATCAGGGCGTTTCTGTTTTGTCAAACACCCGACAGAGCTTGTCGCCGAGTTCGGGAGCCCATGTGAGTGACGGTCGCTTTCATGTCCCGTCTTCCAGGTTGAAGGCAGCGAGCTGAAAAAAATCCGCCCCAACTCTCGCGTCTATCAGCGTTACTACCTTCTGGACGCAGGCCTGCAGGCTCTGTTCTGGGAGCCGTCCAAGAAGGAATCGGACAAAGCTCGGATCTTTCTCGACTCGATACGCGAGGTGAGTTTGTTTTGCTCAAAGTGCAGCAGCAGATCATCAGACCATGATGATCTGCTCCCTGGCCTTTCCTTTATACCTGACCCTCCGAGTGTTTTTCAAGCTTTGGAGATATTTACAACCTTTGAGCATACGGAGGGCAGCAGTTATTTTGGTTTATATGGCGGCTGACGTGAGGTTTTATGAATCACAAATTCTAGGTCCGGACAGGTCGTAACACGGAAACTTTCCGCACCAGTGGAGTTTATGAGCAGATTTCAGAGGACTGTGCATTTTCCATCATCTACGGAGAGATGTACGAGAGCTTGGACCTGGTGGCCAACTCTGCTGAAGTGGCTAACATTTGGGTGACTGGACTAAGGTAAGGCAAGACACGCAACTGAAAGCAGTTTTGCACTTGAATTGTACAAAACTCTCATCAGTAAACTTACTATGAGAGCATCAAGATCTGAGAGACGGAGACAAAAGTCATTTCAGAACCTTCAATGTATCAAACAGTCTTTATTATGGAAAGTTTGGCACAAAACCACCACTAAACAAGTCCAAAAAAATGCCACAGCCACAATGAAATATGGTGGTGAATGCATCATGCTGCGGGATTATGTTTAGATGGAACAAGGCTTTTTGTGAAGGTGGTTAAAATCAAGAACTAAATGAAACTGATTAAAATAAGTCATTTTGACCCAGAACTTTCAGGTGATTGGACAAAGGTCGGAACTTCGGAGAGAACTGTATCTTTAGAGAATTCAGAAAGCGGTCAGCAGAAAGGACAAAAAGACGATCTACAGTGGATGAACAATCTGAAGGTTATGTCTCACTGAATAAAATACATCAGGAAAGAGTTTAAAAAAATCAGTCTCAATAGAGGAGGCAGGGTTAGTACATAAAGAACTGACTCAAAATATGTGCACACTGCTGCATGTTCTAGGGTTTGCCTTGCTTTTTCTAGTGGGTCAAATCAGGAGTTTTGGTGGGCTGCTCTACTGGTGTGTTTGTCTGAATTTTGCCTGTTTTAAAAGCCACTGTCGCTGATCAAGATTGGTATTCAAGCAAATTCTCAGCCAGGTGTATTTGTTTTCCTGAAAACAAAGTAATGTGTCCTGTCAGATAATCGGTGCTCTTATCTGCTTCTAGGTATCTCATGCAGTACGGCAGACACGCCCTCGACGTACTAGCCAACAGTCAGGACAGCCTTCGCCTTCGCTGGCTGGAGCAGTTGTTTTCCTCTGCCGCAGATCAAAATAAACAGGAAGTCATAGAGGAGGAGATTCCCTTGCAGTCAGCTGTTAAGTTGGTACAAAGCGTGAATCCTGGAGTGGGCAGCGGTAAAGTGGAGCACAGGTTTAAGGAGATTCGGAGACTCCGGGAGAAGACGTGTGCACTTACGTCGTGCAATGAATCGGGCTTTAGCGAAAACGAAAAGTCATCAGCGAGAAAGGAGCAAGTGACCAAGCAGGAGTTTATTGAGGTCTTCCATGACTTTTGCACCCGTCCAGAGATCTACTTCCTGTTGGTGCAGTTCTCCAGCAACAAAGAATACCTGGACGCAAAAGACCTGATGAGGTTCATTGAAGCTGAGCAGGGAGTGGCACAAGTGGGTAACATGAGATGATGCATGAATTCAGAAAACAAGTCAAATGTAAAAATGTTTCTTTTACTTGGACAATTAACTCTTGGTCTAAGACTTTTATTCCTCCTTGTAGTCTGTAATTTCTCTGTCTATTTTTTGGTCTTCTCTTAATTTTATCTCCCTCTAGGTGAGTGAGGAAATGAGTCTGCAACTCATCCAGGCCCACGAGCCATCAGAAGAGGGTCGGCAGCAGGGACACCTGTCATTGGACGGCTTCACCAGCTACCTCACTTCGTCAGAGTGCCACCTGTTCGATCGGGAGCATGACACCATTTGCCAAGACATGTCCCAACCTTTGTCTCATTACTACATCAACTCCTCCCACAACACCTACCTCATTGAGGACCAGTTTCGAGGTCCCGCCGATAAATCCGGTTACATCCGAGCCCTGAAGATGGGCTGCCGCTGCGTGGAGGTGGACGTTTGGGACGGCCCCGACGGGGAGCCGGTGGTGTGCACGGGTCACAGCCTTTCCCGTCCACTGGCTCTGCATTCTGTATTGGAAGCAATTGCAAAGTTTGCGTTTGTGGCGTCGGAGTACCCGTTAATTCTCTGTATCGAAAATCACTGTTCGCTGCAACAGCAGAAGGTTTTGCTGCAGCATCTCATAAGGATATTGGGGGATAAACTGCATAGAGATCTACCAGCTGAAGGGGCTTTGTACCTACCGTCGCCTCATGAACTAAGACATCGAATCCTACTGAAGGGTAAAAAGCTTGGGCCAGATTCAGATGGGGAGGTGAGCGAGGAAGACGAAGGAGCAGAAATGAGTCAAAGGATAAAAGCGGTAAATATTGGTGGAGCAGAGAAGGACGTCGTGCAGAAAAGTGTCTCTCTCACATCTGTCCCTCAGTCTAACATGCCTCATTCTTCACCCAAACGTTTCCAGCTGTTGAGGGAACTGTCAGACTTGGTAACTCTATGTCATTCAGTTGGCTTTAAAGACTTTAAAACTTCCTCTAAAGCTCAAAAACCTTGGGAACTGTGCTCTTTCCATGAGTCCCTGGCTTTGTGTCTCGCTGGCGACAGCCCCGGAGACTTCGTCAACCACAACAAGCATTTCTTGTCTCGAGTGTACCCCAACCCCATGCGCATTGACTCGAGCAATATGAATCCCCAGGACCTGTGGAAGTGCGGCTGTCAGATCGTGTCAATGAATTTTCAGACAGCGGGACTGATGATGGACCTAAACACGGCCTGGTTCCGGCAGAACGGGAGCTGCGGTTACGTGCTCCGTCCGGCCATCATGCGGCAGGAAGTGTCTTATTTCAGTGCTGACACCAAAGACACTGTACCAGGCGTGTCGCCACAGCTGCTGCATGTAAAGGTAGAGCATAAATCATTAAATGCTCAATTTATTATGTGCGAGAAGTGATTGAGATGCTGTCGTCCAGTTTCAAAAATGTTGGCAAATTTGTTGATCAGAATATATGAAAAGTAACAAATATTAGGGAACTAGAATAAGGGGTAGAGTGTGCTTGATTGTGAAATTATGAACTTTACAGACTGTAATAGTTTCAGTTGCATTATTATAAGATTATATGGTTATGTGGTTATATGAATTATATGGTTAATAGAGTACTACTAACTTTCTGGAAATTACAGGGGAATTTTCTGAAACTTACAAATTACTTCTCAGAGATGTTAATGGAACCTTCAGGGTACCTTTCTGTAATTTAAGAGGTAGTTTTTCATAAGTTATATAAGCTTGGACACCTGTCTTTTTAAAGTAACCTCAGAGTTCAGGTGTGTGCGGAAACACAAGGGCCTTTCTCCTCTAAACTGATAGGTTACAGGAAAGTATGGAGTACTTCCCGATGTTACGAGTTACAACAAAAACTGAACGAAAGTGAACGGTAAGTTATGGAAACTTGTCCCAAAATTCTGGAAAGTACCACAGAGAATTTGAGTTACAAGATGATACAACTTAATTTCCAAAAATATCCTTTCAAGTTTAAGGAGCGTTACCTCTGAGCTCTGGAAAGACTCCCAGGAGTTCAGAAAAAGGTCACTTTGTAAGTGACCTCATATTACAGATTGTGTCTAGAAATGACCTGTAATTTCCAAAACACTTATAGAATTACAAGTAAGCCTAAAATTTCAGATGGTAAGAATTTAAGGAGACCTTGTGAAAAGTTAAGTCAGTTCCAGGATTGTAATCTTCAAGTTCTAGGAAGTCCCATGTTATAAATCACCTGGTCCCAAAAGATAACTTGTAGGCAACGAATGGGCTGTGTATGTGTTGCTAGCATGTGGGCACTAAAAACAAATGCTCTTTAAGTAACAGGTGTTTTTTTTTTTCTTAAAGGTGATCAGTGGCCAGAATCTGCCCAAACCAAAAGGTTCTGGGGCCAAAGGGGACGTTGTAGACCCATATGTGTATGTGGAGATCCATGGCATCCCAGCTGACTGCAGCGAGCGCCGCACCAGGACAGTGAGACAGAACGGGGACAACCCCATCTTTGATGAGAGCTTCGAGTTCCAGATCAACTTGCCAGAGCTTGCCATGGTTCGTTTTGTGGTGTTGGACGATGACTTCATTGGGGATGAGTTCATAGGTCAGTGTGTTGGGTCTATTATTGGAAAAAGAAATCTCGTAATTGTTCACACCCGTGCGACATACAAAGAGGGAGAGACTTGATCTCTTAACTTAAAGTGCAAAAAGGTTTTAGAAATCACATAAGACAGAATATGACGCAACCAGATGTGGAAATACCTGTTTCCTGTGCACTACAGTGGGAAATGTTGTTGTTGTGTAGATGTCACTGTCACAATATGTCCAAGATGTTAAGTGAATAGAAAGAAACATTCAGGTTCACAATGATCAGCTTTTGCTTTGTTGCGCTGCAATTAAAGTAGTTCTCAACCACCGCAGGCCAGTATACTATACCACTGGAGTGCCTCCAACCTGGCTACCGACACGTGCCCCTCCAGTCCCTCACTGGGGAGGACCTTCCACACGCCAAGCTGTTTGTACATGTGGCCCTCACAAACCGGAGAGGAGGTGGAAAACCTTACAAAAGAGGCCTCTCGGTACGAAAGACTCGAAAAGGGAGGGAGTACACAGCTCTGAGGGACTTAGGAGTTCGGACCGTCGACGAGGTTTTCAAGATGGCCGCTCCTCTTCTGAGAGAAGCGGCAGACTTGAGGGGTAACATGCAGGTGAGGAAACGTTTCATGGAATATGTGCCTCAGTTTAAACACCTTGACAAATGCACAAACTGCTTGTAATCTGTAGGGCGGTATTTCTGACACAATGGTGCTGAAGATATGTTTCAAATAAAAAGTAAAAAAAATGGAGGACAAAGGTCATCTGATAGCAGAGGAGTAATAAAGACTGGTGTGACTGGATTCCAAAAGAGTTCTGTTTTGGAAAATCAATCTTCATCCCACATCTTTCAGTTCTGTTGAACGCAACAAGAAGTCGAAGCTTTTCAGCAAAATCTATGCAGAAAGCCGTGTAGATGATGTGAACCATCTGTCCCTTTCTCCTCTGGCCTTCACTTCTACCCAACGAAGCAACTTAATATCATTTTAAGACTTGGTCATAAATGGATTTAAAAAAAGTCATAAGAAAATGGAACAAACTACACAAAGAGGCTTTAAAACTGGAATTGCCTCACTTGAAAGATGCCAACATGTTGCTATCCTGTCCATGTGACTCAGCTAATCCCATAACCTCTGCTCACCTTTTCAAATTCAAAGTTTAACCACTTGCATTTGAGCAGAATCTGACAACGGCATAGCTTCTCAGTAAAATTAAATTACGTTTTGTTTTTTCTGCCAAATCAAACACTGTGCAACATCAGCACTGCCATCAATGAAATCCAAAACCCAATTTTGTGGAGCCTCTTGTGTCCCTGTAGAAGATTCACACCAGTCTTTTAACGGCCGCCTCAGATTTCAAATCTTGAGGTGTTTCAGATGTTCTTTCTGAAGATTGTAAAACTTACAAACTAATTGGAATAAGCGTTGTCTTAAATCAGCCATGAAATGTGGCAAGCATCAACCGATGCGTTGCAGACCTTCGTCAGTCAGAGCCGACGAAGGTCAAAGTGGCCAGTAGTTCATTATTTAAAGTGGAGCCACCGTTTTTCACTGTGAACCAGTCGGTTTCTTCAATCTTGCCTGTAGCTTCATCTTTACTCCACCGTTAATTACTTTAATGCATTCATAAACACATACAATTCAGTTTGGTAATTATTCAGCAGAATCGATATTCACTCCAGTGTGAAATATTAGTCAATATTCCTTTTCAAAATGTATTTCATGATCCAGTCAGTCCGTTTGGTCTGTTAGTGCTTTTATTAATTAGGCCAATTAAACTGTCACTAATGCGAGATTGCAGGCGTTCACACCGTTCAGTTTCTTTGCTGCAGCAGGAGAAAAAATTATTTCTGAAAGGAAAGACAAAGAGCTTTGTGGAGAAAATGAATCAGGTCAGTAACAAGAAGGAGAAAAAAAAGTCAATTATCCTGGGTTTATTTGTTTTGATACTTTCTACAAATTATGTCAAGTTTCTGTCAGCCCCTCCGTCCCCACAAAAATACAACTGAAACCAGATGTTTACATGTAATGTGTAAAACATGATACATACTTGTGATATTTGCTAAATACTTAAATTATATATATATATTTATATATAGATATATATATATATTTATTTTTTTTTCTTCTCAGAACTCCGTTGCAGTATTCAGGGAGCTGTGTGGCGTGTCGGCTGTGGCCAACCTCATGCAGTGTGTGCTGGCCCTGGGCTCCAGAGCGTCGGGCCCAGAGGGGACCCCGTTACTGCTGTTCGACCTGAGAGACGGCTACCCCACACTGGAGGCCCAGGGACCCCTGCCGGATGTCCTGCGCCGAGTCGTCTCTACGTACGATACGGTGAGGAAGGGATTAACCGTGGAAAACACGCAAGGTTCTTCAGAAACGAAAGAGAAAAACAAAGGATGAGAAATGGCATGCGAGTCACATCCCTCCCTCTGACTCCTTGACCCGACAATCAAACGCTTCCTTTTTGAGGCAGCTAGCTTCGAAGTACAAAGTGAGCTTTCATTGTCGTGTCGCAGACAACACCCCCCGTTTGTCTTCAGCTTGCCGGCAACATCCTCATGTTGGACCGAAGCCTCCGTGTGTTTCCACCCAAATAAACCACAGACTTCCACCGACCGGGTGGGGTGATGGGGGGTGCGGGGGGGTCGTTCACCAGATTTGATTTGTGGAATAGTTTCTAAATATACACGCCGGGCGTCAGAAGATGAGGAGTTAGTTTTCCAGATGGAAAGACAAAGGCTGAAAGAAACAAAGAAAACAAAGGCGTATCTGTTAGTTACCGTCTCACAGACCGGCAGTGGCGGAGGCACAAATCTTTGTATTCAAAAAAGGTTTGAAGCTCCTTTCATTTACCCTTGCTTAAGGGTAGAATATACTGAATATATTCTATATTCTTCCTCCCTAGTTTCTATGGGCTGAACTTGCACCACTGATAGTGCAAGATTCTCCTAAAATCCCTGTAGCTCAACATGGCACAGAAAGCAATAAATTAGTCATTTGAATTAAAAATGAACTTGATCACCTTGATTATCAGAACTGCCCTTCAAGTTTTGACAGAAAATTTTGCTTCCAGACTTCATAATGCATTTTCTTCATGGTTTTGGTTGTGTGTGGTTTTTGTACAAATTTAATTTATTGCTTTTGGTTGTTTGTTTTGGATGTTTAAAATGTCTTCCAGTTCCAGTGCAAGTATTCTTTAATTAGTTTTTTGCTCTTTGATGGGACAAAGTTGCATTATTATGCTGTTATCAATACATTTCATTTATAGCATTCTGAGACAATTTATCTTCCAGCGTGATGAACCATGACAGGCCTACCTGTAGCTTTTGGCAAGCAGTCGATATTTACTTTTGCAACGGCTTTTTTCCTGGCATGCTTTCCAAACAACTAATAGTACACAAAAGGGATCTAAGGGTTCTTATGGAAGTTGAGTGGCCCCAAGAGGCCACTTATTGCCAAGACTGTCTGTAAATGTATTTTGTTTTTGTTTTTATGTTTATTTTACTTTAAGTATTTTTGAGCTTTGGTATGGAGTTGCACAGCTGATGGGTTGCTGGTTCTCAGACGAGAACAAGTTGCACAGTTGAAATGCTCTTGATTATGGTTTCGGTGCATAAACTGGGCCACTTTAAATCGCCCACAGCTGTTTATCACCGCTGTGCATCTCGCCTGTGGGGCCGCAGCTAGAACATACAAGCGGGTTAGTCCGTGTCTCCAGCCGCTTCCGCTCCAGCCGAACGGAGCGGAGCTGCACAAGCTCGCCCCGCCGCTGAACACCATCAGCATAGATTTGAATGCGACTTGGCTAAATGGATTCCTCGCCCGAGTCCCTGACACACAGAGAGGAAGAGTCAGGAAATGAGAATCCGATTGTGGACGTCTCGTGGAATTTGATTTGGTTTTCAGCGACATGCAGCAGTGAATCCCTTATTTTCTTAAAAAGAGCATTTTTGTTTTTTTGTTTTTGTTGTTTCCACTCCCCATTCCCCCACCCCTCCACCCCCCTCAGCGGGGTGGAGTCCCAGAAGGCTTTCTGAGAGGAAGTGTCTCATTATTCAAACAGTCTCTGCATGTCATCCATATGTAGCTTTGTATGCTGCTGTTCATGTAGTCGTACTTTGAGTCCGAACTTTTTTTTCTTTTCTTTTTTTTTATACTCATTGTAACATATTGGCATGTCTTCCATTTAAATGATTCTTGCTTTTTCATTTGCACCGTTATGCCCACCAGCTTGCTCTGTTGTGTCATAGCCAGTAAAAGTTTTGCAAATCCACCTGACAGTAGGATTTATTAGTTGAATACCGACGCAATTTATGGGCCCCTGTTGCTAACAAAGTGTCCGTTTCCTGTTTTCCAACCCCCAGATGGTCAACGCAAGCAAAGCTGTGATGGAGTCTGCAGATGCAATCTACGAAAAAATCCTGCATATACAGACAATGGGTGAGTAGGTGTTTTATGATGGACATAACTCCAGGGGAAACTCATATAAGCAGCTCGTGCTCATGAGAGCTCCCACGCAGGCTTCTCTGTGACGCTTTGTACTTCATCTGGTTTCCTTTCATTTTTAAAGATATTTGTAGGCATTGGTGACCTGTTTTTAACAGAAATCGGGCATCGGAGGGAGAGAGATGAGAACGACATTCAGCAAATATTCTAAAACGGAGACAAACAATTTTATTTTGCAAGATAAGAGTTTGGGATGTGTTTTTATGGATCTTCCTAGACTCTTGCATGCCTAAATAAAAACCCAGGCAGCCATCTACCCTTATCGATCACCTGATTGGTGAATTGAGTTCACCTGTTTGTAATTTAACCTCAGATGATTCAGGCTTGGGTCCAAATGTAACATTTTGGTTAATGTTACATTTACCAAATTAGAAGGAGAGTTTGGGTTCCTCCAGGTTACAACTTTTGCAACCTAGTAGTAACGAGGTTTATATGTACGGTTTTGAAAGCAGCAGGTTTAAACTAGCATCATCGTTGCTTCTCCGTCACTGAAATCCGGCCCATCTGTGGTTCCTGGCATGAGCTTCTTGTTCACTTCAACAAAGGACAGTTTGGCTTGTCTGACCCGTAACAGCCAGACTTTCGCTGTATCTCACTCTAGACCTGGATCCTTCGTCTGTGGATATATCGTACATTTTGTGTATTTGATGCTCAGAAATGTGAATCGGTTGCTTGTTTTGGGGGGAGGGAAAAAAAAAAAAAGAGCTCCAGATGAACTCGAAGCGAGACATCTCGCTTCAAGTTGGGGTTCATCTTGGGTCATTGCGTAAAGCTAACGGCGATCTGATTAATGTTAAATTAATCAGATTTCTCCTCGTGGGTTTTGTCTTCTCTCATTCAACACTTTCACCTGTTTTGCAACATGATCCCATTTTACCACCCTGAACTCTGCATGAATCCTTTACTTCATCGGCGGTCACATGTAAACAGATTTATAAGTTTGCGATTGCTCAGCCCTTCCACCCGCGAGCGGTCGGCCCACTGTTTGCATGTTCATCTGATTATGGAGCCTGATCTTCTGAACAAAGCTCTTCCTGTGTGTTAAGGGCAAAGATGGTGATCAGGTGATCCCCAAGGCGGAGGTCCACTTTGTGGTCTGAAAGGAGGGCGCAAACCGGAAGAAGGCCTATATGGGTCACTTGAAGGGAAGCATGGGATGGTTGGTGGCAGAGATGGATGTCTGGAAGTCACATCAAGGCAGAGAGAGGAAACGGAGGGAGGGAGGAGGAGAGGAAAGATGTGCAGCAGCTTCTGGGGAGGTTGAATCGCAAAAGATTAGATTGGAGCTCATCGGGACGTGCCGGTGTGTTTGAGAAGTTTGTGAAACCCATACATGTTCGTTGCGGACAATCAGAGCACTGGGGAGTGAACTATGAGACGGGGATCTTGTGTCGTTTTCGACATACTGAGCTCATACTCAGTATTGTACACTCTTCTCCATTCATATCCTAATACAACAAACGGTAAGAAACGACAGCGCGAAGGTGCGGGCTGAGCGTGCGTTGTGCGTTTCCTGAGCAGCAAAGTGAGAAATTAAACTGCTGCGGGCAAAAATAAAAAGCAGATCTTAATTGGCTGGAAAGTCTGTTTTTAGACTCTGTGTTTTCAAGAAGCGGCGTCCTCAACTGTTAACGGTTTTCACACCACGCAGCATTTGTCATCGACCTTTTGTCAACCTCAGGCGATCAGCTGCTTTCCCAGTCTGGCTGAGCGATGTACAGCATAGTCCTTTGAGCCACACCAGGAAGTGTAACGAACAATAAAACAAACACCAGGATTTGAGATTTGTTTTTGCTTTGCTTTGTTTTTTTCCTTCTCCACTTCAGATGTTCAGGAAGTGGAAGTGATGAAATGTGTGTTGCATCCTGAGGCGAAGGCCCCGAAGCTTACTGTGGCCTTCGGGTCAGACGGGACTTCTTTTTTGTTTGCATATGCAACAAAAAAAACAAAAAAACAAAACAAACATTGTGTGTTGGCTTGGAGATATTGCATGAAGCTTTTTTTTTTTTTTTTTCTCCCTTGGAAAGAAAGCAGAGGTAACAACACTGCTTTGGGTTACCTAGCAACTGTGTGGTAAAGGTTATTATTAAGGCAACTTATGTAGGTGTGAAAATGTGGAGAAGGGGCTGGTGTGTGTGTGTGGGGGTGTGTGTGCAGGTGTGTGTGTGTGTGTGTGTGTGTGTGTGTGTGTGTGTGTGCAGGTGTGTGTGTGTGTGTGTGTGTGTGTGTGTGTGTGTGTGTGTGTGTGTGTGTGTGTGTGTGTGTGTGTGTGTGTGTGGTGTGTGTTGTGTGTGCGCGCAGGTGTGGGTGTGGTGTGTGTGTGTGTGTGTGTGTGTGTGTGTGTGTGTGTGTGCAGGTGTGTGTGTATGTGCAGGTGTGTGTGTGTGTGCAGTGTGTGTGTGGGTGTGGGTGTGGGTGTGTGTGTGTGTGTGGGTGTGGGTGTGGGTGGTGTGTGTGTGTGTGTGTGTGCAGGTGTGTGTGTGTGTGCAGGTGTGTGTGTGTGTGCAGGTGGTGTGTGTGCGTGTGGGTGTGGGGTGTGGGTGTGTGTGTGTGTGTGTGTGTGCGCAGGTGTGTGTGTGTGTGTGCGCGCAGGTGTGTGTGTGTGTGTGCGCGCAGGTGTGTGTGTGTGTGTGTGTGCGTGTGTGTGTGTGTGTGTGTGTGTGTGTGTGTGTGTGTGTGTGTGTGTGGTCATGCTTGCAGACGTTTAAGGTGCAGAGAAGGAACCGTGTGAGGAATCGAACTCGCCCTCGGTCTGCTTGCCCTCCTCTCTCTGCATGTGTGAGAGAAAGAGGCCCCGCAACTTAGCATGCCAAACGTCCGGGTTCTGCTGATGGCTCACTGTGATGCTTTGCCCCATGTTAACCCACTTTTGGGTTTCCATGGCAACAGCGGGACAGTGGCCCGGGGCGGCCAGAGGAAGCCAGACACAAGGAAACAACTTGGTGCACACGCTGTGAGTAGCTGCAGGCTGGACTCTGAGATCCTGTCTTGTTGGGTTTGGTTTTTTTTTTGTTGTTTTGTTTTGTAATGCAGATTTCATCATACGTTGCTCAGATTTCCATGCTCATCTTTGCTTAAGTGTTGTGAAACCTCTTCATAGTTCTGCCTCTGATGTCTGCAAAGTATTCACGCCGCCCTGGTTTTGACTTGTTTTTCCTTTGCCTAAAGGTAAGGGGTTTGGAAAGATCCTTGTGTGCGCATATCTGTATCAAAGGCCGATCCTTGTTCGCTGTTTAAAATAAATAATTCAACACCACAGTCGTATGGCTTCCGCGTTTGCATGAGTGCCTCCAGTTCACAGTGATTTGCAAATTCATTCCAAGATGCCATCTTGCATTAAAAAAATAATAATTAAGTTTGTCCAGAATTTATCGGATAAAGTTGGTACAACAGTTTTGCACGCTTTAAGCCATTTTAACCCTTCTAAACTACTTGCATTTCGTCCAGTTGAAATCTGCTACATTTCAATACAAAACTTCACAGTCAAAAGTTCAGACACAACAGGGTCATGTTTAGTGCTTTGCTGGCAGAAAGAAAAATTACTGGAGGCTTTTACTTGCAGTCTAAGTCTATTACACATTCATCAGCTCAGACAAGGTGTGGCCCTTTTTTTTTTAACTTGTCCTTTGAACTGCGAAATGACAAGCTGGCATTTTGATCATTTTTCTAGCTGAAGAAATCTTCTGCCATGCAAGTTTAAACATCCATATGGTTTTTTCGGCTATAGGCACCGAGGTGCTTTGAGGGTAAAGTGGAAAAAGTGCCTCGACAGTTTCCTCGTCTCATCCTCGCTGTCACTTAAACACACAAGTAATAAAATAGGGATGGAAAAAAAAGTTTATTCTGTTGGTGTTGATGGTTAGAGCACGATCCTTCAATTTAAATTCCTACGCACAAAACGAAGCCAAAGGCGTTGCAGCCAAGTTAAAACAAGCCGAAGGGCCGCCCGTACACACACACACACGTACACACGCACGCACGCACTGAGCACAACAAAAATTAGGGAAACGGTTGTGTCTCCTTTCTGCAAGAAATATCTAAAATTTGTTTCCTATTTTGCGTTTAGCTCCAAAGTAGGAAGCTTGCTGCTCCCGTTCATGTTTAAGCTCGTCTTAGGATGCTGCACAGTGACATGCTGTAGTAATGTCAAAAGGGTTTCAGTTGGAAAAAAAAAAAACTTGAGTCATTGCTTTGAACGACGTGGACCTGACTAGAATCTCATCACCATTAATCTTCCTGAAGTTTTCCTTGAATAGGTCGTCTTCCTCAAATGCCTGTTGAAAACGGAGCAAATGGGACTAAACAAAGCACCAAAACTGTCAACAGGACTTTATCAGTTCTTTAAATTAAATTTCACTTTTCAGATTTTAAGGGAAATTCACATCCATCTGACTGATCCTTCTATTTGTAACCATGTCCAAGTGTCTTTTCAATGGTGTGCCAGGAAGAGCATCCTTCATGTCCAGGTGATAAGTTGTTCTTTTAGTATTTAATAAGTAAATAAATGAAGCCACACTGTTGCAGTACAAGTATCAAAACCAAGTCTGGCTTTGTTGAACGTTGTGTATTCCACACCCTTGATCCCGAAACACACGCTCTATTCAGAACTGGAGCGCTTTAAAAGACCATCTACAAATTCCCATTGTGTTTGGAAGCTTGCAAACCGTTTTGTGCCCACTAGCCATGTTGGCATATTGACACTTCAAAAGTCATGATGTCTTTGTTTTTATTTTCTTTGTTTTTATTTTCCCCTGTAGCGATGGAGTTTCATGAAAAGCTGCAAAGCCTGGCGATGAAGGAAGGGCTGAAAGGCTCCAAGGTTAGTCGAGCGCTGGAGAGCTTCAGCTGGAACATCACCATCCTGAAGGTAGGTCGCTCCTTCCCACACGTCAAAGGGGTCGAAAAGAAAAAGAAAAAAGAGAAGTGTCGCGTAGGAAGTTTACCGCGACATCTTGTTGCCTCCAGCTTCAAAATGTCGCATCCCTCTTTGCCTCAGGGCCAGGCCGACCTGCTCAAACGCGCCAAGGCCGAAGTGGAGGAGAACATGAAGCAGGTGCACGACGCCGCTCTGACCGGAAACCTCTGCAAGGAGGGGGGAGGACTGAGACGCGTTCGCTCCCAAACGGGACGAGGTCCGGACGACAACGCGAGCGCATGAGACGCCGCGCCTCAGCGACGTGACCACACTGCTGCCATGTTTGCTGCGGTGAACTTTTCACGTACCACCAGTTCGTTCTCAAGCTCCCCAAAGCCGCTTGGGAGCGTCGCAGCATTTAAGGCCCGAGACCGACAAGAGTTCATGAAAGTAAAAATCTTGAATATACAATCGCGGTGACGTGCTGCCAGCTGGAGATCCTAGAATCGCGGCGGCAGAGAGATGAATGTAGTTAGACTTGAAGCCAAGGTTCTGCTGTTTTGTACTGTTGTAAACCTGCCAAATGTTAACGATCTCCCTCTCATGTGAACGTTTTCTAGGTTTTACATGCCAACAGTGAGGTAGGTCTGTCAATTTGTCGTTTAGGAAACAAACCAGGTCAGTTGACTGGACGCCTTGCCCTTTAAGTTAAAGAAAACCTACTCTGTATGTAAATTTTTAGATATCTGAAGTCTTCAGCCATCGTTGTGTGGACCAGTGGAGCCTCGTGAGTCTTCAGCTGCTTTCTTTCTTTCTTTTTTTTTTTTTTTTAACCGAGCGCCGTTCTGCTCCCGCATTGCTGCTCTAAACTCAGTTGGCATGAGATTTTTTGCACCGAACCTTAACGACCCTCCCATCCCCCCAACCTGCCAACATCCCCTATGTTGTCTTACTGTTTCTAAGACAACATTCTTCCTGTTGAATTAAATTCAACAGAAAACTTAATTCAACTGTTGAATCAAATGACAACAGTTGAATTAAATTAAACTGTTGTAATATTTTTGTATTTCCTATATTTTTGTATTTCCCAGAATCCCCCAGGGTCCCATGAGCTACTTAAACCCTTCTTACTGTACCTGCCATACTGATCAACTCCATAGGCGTTGATGTCTGCCTCCAGGGAACCGATGCCATTGCCGTCGAAAGCGTTTACTTTGCGTGCAAAACACTGTACAGTATTTTAATATTTGATTCTATCCTTTTTTGCTGTAAAGAATATTTTGCATAAGTTATTGATGCTGAAAGAAAACAAAACATTCCAGATGCGTATTGGTGTTGTGGCAGTAGATGAAACTCGACCGGTAATGGTCAGGATGGAAATAAACATGTTTTTTTTTTCTTCAAAGTGACTAATGTTTGTGTTTTACTCTATTTTTCTGCAAGATCTTTCTAATACTCATTCATTTATCTCAAGTTGTGTGTGGGGCTGAGGAGACAGCTGGGGACGCTCATCTGCTGGGTACGGGAGGCAGACATACGGCCCTCCGCATATGTGCTGTTAGTAAGCATAACGGAGCTCATTTGTAGCTTGAAGAATTCACTGGGGGGGGACGAAGGAGTCGACATTAACGAGCAGAACGGCGGAGCTTTAGCGTGTCTCACCGCAACGTTTCTTCATTTTCCAAGTCCTTTGGAGTTTTGCACCAAATTAAGATTCAATCACAAACCTTCCAGGCCTGACAAAATATGCTAAAACCTGGTTTTCTGATGTAATTAGTGTTCAGATTTCGTTTTCGAACACCCCATGTGGTAACTCTGCAGAACCTGCAGAGACGCGGCGACTCCAGACGTCACAGGTGTCAAACTCCAGTCCACCAGGGCCACTGTCCTGCAGTTTTTAGACGTGCCACAGGCACAAAACACTGGATTGAAGCAGCTTAATTACCTCCTCCTGGTGTAGAGCAGTTCCCCAGAGCCCTGCTGATGACCTAATTATTCTAGTCAGGTGTGGCGCAGCAGAGGCACATCTAAAAGTTGCAGGACACTTGGGGATGGGAGTTTGACACCCCTGATCTAGATCCTGGAAGAAAACCTATCAGAGGTTTCAGAAGAGCTGTTCTTTCCCTCATTTTATAACTATTTTGGAGAATTGTACCAGATTTGATTAAATCAGGCACGATGGATTCATTGCCCATCAATAAACAAGGCAAGACATGTTCATCAAATTTTCTCAGAACTACGTAATACAAAACTAGAGCTAAAAACTTTTATACAACAAGAACGCCCTGATCGTTTCTTGACTGAACGGTATTGATGCAGATGAGAAAGCATTTGCATGTTGTGGACAGCTGCGTGAAACAAAATCCGCTCAACCTCAATGGCTTAATGCGTTTTAAAAGTAAGAGAAGCACTCCCCAGACAGCAGTCAGCTTGTAGCAAGAGCAATATAGTTTTTATTGATCTAGGTTTAATTATGCTGAACGGGCAGCCGGAGGAACATTCTTTGCGTGCCGCCGCACATGATTTGCACAGAACAGAACAACCCACATCCGACGAGAGAACCAACCAATCACATTAAAATGTCCACAAGAGGAGATCTAAAAACAAAGATTAAATCAGACTCATTCCTTAATTTAAAGACTTTATCTTGGAAATCAACAATCTAAAGGGTTAAAAAATATTAATTCTAGACAATAACAAAAAAAAAAAAAGATCACAGAGTTAGGTTTTGTTTGGCTGAGAGAAGAATGGTCAGAGGCACTGGTTTAAAAGCGGGAGAAAGCTGACCTCGTCCTTTCTGTTACAGTGTTGGAGAAGAGAAGACGGCGTCCTCCATGAGGACACACACGCATACACACCACAGGCAGAAGTATGGCTGGATCTCCGCATTCATACAAAAACATCCTCGCACTCCCAACCAGCAGCGCAGGAGGAGAAAGTTTTCTCCTGCAAGGAAAACTGCAGTCTCAGGTCCTTCAGTATTACCGTGTAGTGATGGAGTAAAGCAGTCAGACAGCGCCCTCTCTCCACAGAGAATGGCACTACAATAATCATAATAGGAAACAGGTTGGGGGGGGGGGGAGCAATGCATAAAAAGGCCTAGCAGGCGGTTGGATGAGACAGCTTACAGCATCAGTTCAGACAGGACTTGCATGGTACAGATGATGGCTAAAGAGATGAAGAGTCGGGCCGTTTGTGATTCTCCATGTCACAGTCCACACATGTGCAACTTCTTAGTGGTGCGGCACCAACAGCAGGTGGTTCCCTACCCTGTGAACTCAGTTTCATCAGACCTCCAGAACGGGTGCAAGAGAGGGAGAACTGCCGTCTGCTCACAGGTCGTTAGGGTTAACTATGGTGAAGTCGGAGTCCTTGCTGTTGGTGGAGCCCTCCTCCGGGCTGGAGGAGCCCGAAGTGGCGCCAGTCATCAAGGGGTCGTGAAAAGTCCCGGGTGAGCCTTCGGGCTCCGTTCGCACAGCGGCGCGCCCTCGCCTCACTGGCAGCGGCAGCTTTCCTTCGCCTTCCCTCCCTTCGGCTAGCAGGTCTCCGTCCTCAGGCACCAGGATATAATCGTCCCAGTTCTTTCCCTCGGAGACCAGAGACGACACCACCTGTAGGCAGGAGATTTAAAGAGATCAACACATTGAGTATACACATAAGCAGAGGTTACGTACATTGGTTGGTTGTAATCTCTGACAAAAGTATTCATATTGTATATTCGTATTGTGACACTGAGAAGAAAAACAGAGTCACAAGTTAGTAAGTAAAGGAAGTAATATGGAGTATTAGGGCCGGACTATGATTTTATTTTTTTAAATATAGGAATAAAGTTTTGCTTAGATATTAATATGCTTAGTATTCCTCTGTTTAACGCAGTTTGGCGTGTTCTGATTACAACTTTATTGTTATTTTAAAAACAAATGAGCAAAATGGGGGGGAAAAAGAACAGGGCACAGAGGAAGCACTACTGTGAATGCAAAATACATTCTGCATCACTCCTGACAAGCTGCTGTAGTCAACATTGCTGCAAGTTTTGCACCGTGTTAAAAAGCATAGTGCAAAACTATGCTTTTTAACAGCGTTTTTTTTTTTTGGAAAAAAGGCTGAAGAAATCTCCCCCCCCCAAAAAAAAAATAAAACATTGGTAACTTATGTTATCAATGTACTAGTTACTTTTACCAATAAAAAGTTTGACTGCGCCAATATAAAAATGGACATTAAATCACTGAGTTAATAAACTGAACTTGGAACTTGTTTTGTTTTGAGGCTCATAAATGAGACGAAACTCATTTTATTCATCTGTTTTGATTATAATGTTATTCAACCGGTGCCAGTGGTTTGTAACATAATATGATCTGATTCTCAATAGCATTTAAAATCAGGGGGGGCATTAGAGAAAATAATTACGCAACAATGCTGAGCACAAATTCAAGCTGTTTTGTTGCTGTGGCTGAAGTAAAAAGTGTTTAAATGACTCCAAATTCATTCCACACTTTTCAGATGTTTATTGCTACCAATTTTTTAAAACCAACCTAGCATACACACGTTTTATATATATATATAAAAACATTTGCAGTTGTCAGGAGAAGGACTAACGATCTAATAACCTGCTGCTCAGGCGGGATCGCCGCTGTCTCCTCCTCCTCATTCTCCTCTTCCTCCTCCTCCTCCTTCTCGTCCGTACTCGCGCCCCGGTCCAGATAGGACTCTCTGCTCTGCGCGTTGCTGTCGCCTCCCTGAAGCCGGTCATCGTGGTGACGCGCGCTGCCCAGGGAGGTTTCCGTGGCGGCGGCGGTGGAGGTGTAGTGGTCATCGGCGATGGTGATCTCCTCGTTCTCCTCGGCCTCCAGCTGACTCTGGTTGAAGCGCAGCGCTCCCTTCAGGATGTCTTTGATCTGATGACATTTTGTTACAGAAAAACAAACAGAAGCAGCTGAAGCCTGGAGAGTCAAACACCAGAATCCGTAATTAAAGCACGTTTTCCCTCCTACCTGTTTAAGTCCAGCTAGAGAGACGAGGACTTCATCTTCTTTCTCCAGGTGCTCTTGCAGAATCACTTCCTGGATTTTACCTGCAGAGAAGTTCCTTTCTTCAAATGCCACCAAATCAAACAGCGCTACCAAACTCAAACATCCTGACCCCACTTAGTGTCGACAAGAATTTGAATATAGAGAGAAATGTTGTGTTTTTTGTTTTGTTTTGTTTTTTTTTTATCTCAGAAAATAAATAACTTAAGGAGCCGCGTCGGAACTCACAGATGTGCGTATTCATCATCTTGGCGCAGTACTTGCTCATGGCCTCCAGGTCGTTAATCTGGCCCTGCAGGAAGGACACCTGGGCTTCCAGATCCTCGTCCTTTTGATGAAATAAAAAAAAGAAATAAATAAAATTTTTAAAAAAAGCTCAAATGAAGGCTGGGAATTTAAGGTTGCTGCTAAGCAAAGCGCACAGCGAGGCAAACAGCTCACCGTCTCTTTCTTGCCCATGCTTTTGCTGTGGGAGCGGGAGCGGGCGATGTTGAAGAAGGATTCCTTCTTGGTGGCCGAGAGTGGAGGAGACGAGCAGCTGACATCACTCCCTCTGGAGGGCGGGAGGGGCGGGGACGCAGTGGACTGGCCCCGCCCACCAGAAAGGCTCTCCGTGCTGGGGGAGGAGCTGATCGTCCTGGAGCTTTGGCCTTCGGAAGATGGAAGGAAAAAAAAGAAGAGAAGTTTGAAAAAACAAATAAAAATAAATGTATTAACTTGAGTCATACTTTTATTCCTTAAAACGTGAAACTGAGGAGTACATTTTGTTCATACTTGTTGTCTGGGTGATCAAATGAAGCACAGCAGATAAACAATAAAATTTCCATAGCTAGAAAAAGAGAAATCTTATTAAAATAAAAGTTTTTTTTTGTTTTTATAAATCCTTTGAGTATCTGCTAAGTTTTTTATCCGTTAAAGTCAGGGTTACAATACATGTCGGAAAACAAATCACTTGTAATTTAAATTTTTTTTTTTAAAGTCGTGACTCTGCCCTTCAATTGACGCTCCCAGACTTTGAGCGTTTGAGTTAACAGAATTTCTGTTTCGATTTTGACTTCAAAAGATCACAAAAAGCAAAGCAATAATGAAAAAAGAAAGAAAGAAAGAACCATTTATTAAATTTTTATTAAAAATACTCCCCAACATTTAGCAAATGGGAAAATGCAGATGCAGCACTAACATTCGGGACATTGTGGGATATTGTAACACGTGGGTGAGTCCATTGGTGTTCAAGGGTTTATTTCTGTTAACTAACAGAGTCTGAAAAAACATAATAATCATAATCAGACCATACCAGCTACTGGCTGCAGTGAAACATCTACAAATCAGATCTATTTTGAGATAAATCGAAGATCCTACAAAGTGCAACTCTATTAATAAACATATTCCACACATCAGTGACTTCAAAGCATATTTACGGCCATCATATCCAGCATTAAAAACATGACAGTAAACACAGTGTTTTATAGCATCCATCACACTCTAGCTGTGATCGCCCCCTGCTGGTTGAGGCTTACAGTCACATCCGCATGCAGGACTCGGGTCTGTTCTACAGCAACATGTTGCAATTTGCACAGCAGCACACGAGCAAACAGATGGAAGAGTGAGAAACGGACGCATTTGCTGAAAAGAGGCTAAAGGAGTTGCAAAAGCACAGCTCAATTTGAGGGAGAGGAAGCGTTTGGGGTCGCATGGCACACAAGCGGTTTGCCTTGGCAGCAGTTACCTTGTGTGTCAGTAAGAGTCTGTTCTGGGAGAGACCCCCGAGACACTGCACCTGAAACTCCATCTAACACACAGGAGAGTCAAAGCTGATGTAACCACAACCACACACACCAGCGGCTGCACACACACATCCAGGTGGTCGGCGTTAACAAGAACATGCAGAGAAGACTTTAGCATTTTAACCGGGAAGGAAAATACACATTAATATACGGGCGAAAAGCAGGAGTGGTTGGTTGTCCTGATTAGCTTCGTCACCCCGCTCCCCGCCGTCTCTTGGTCCTCACCTTTGCTGAGGTGGACCGGCATGCTTTCAGACTTCAGCAGACGGTAGTTCTGCGTCTGGCCTCGGACCTGCGGCTGCTCCGGTGGCGGTGTCGAGGGCTCAGCGAGCGGGTGAGACAGGGCGGGCGCCGGCGCCGAGGCAGGAGGCGTGAAGGAGGACGAAGAGGAATAGGAAGAGGAGGAGGACGAGGAGAACACCTCGCTGTTGATGGGGGCGACGCTGCTGGACACGCCCGACATGGCCGGAGCGATGAGCTTCCTGCCGAAGCTAAGCAGGCTGCTGGACACTTTGTTGATGTTCAGCGGGGCGGCTTTCGCCGAAGAGGCGGACCTATGGATGAATACCGACCAGATCGTAAAAACGTAAACTGAAGCACATGGTCTTCAGAATAATGGACGATGTCCTTTTTGCCTATGTGGATTAATGTAAAAAACATTTATACTTACGATGATTTAATCAACTTGTAAGTGATTGTAAAACATGACAGATCCTTAAAAATTTAAAAGTTCTTGGAATATATTCATGTTTTCTAACTGTCCATTTCTAAAATTTAAAGCTAACCTAATTTAACATCAGTTAAAGCTTTTCTCTCTTTTTTTAAGAGAATTTCTAAAACACAACCAAGGTCTAATATCACAATCTTATACTTTTTGAGACCTTACTTGAAGGTTGAATATTTAAAAGAGAAAGAGTTAAAATAGCTGCTTCAACAGTGAAATAAAGCCAAATACACTTGAGCAACTTGAGAAACATGAATCAAAATAAACCAGACACACCGTCTTTTGGTTTTAATAACACTTCCATAAATAAACTACAATCTGCCAACTAAAGTGACGCATCACCATGTGTATTTGGAGCTTAAACCAAACTTTTTAAAATCTCTGTACCGTGTCTTGTTCATCAGATCGGCTCCTCTTGTTTTGTAGTAATCCAGGTTCTGCTGAAACTGGTAGTTCACCGGGCGTGGATTATTCTGCAAGAAAAACAATAAATCTGTGAGTGTGCGAAGAAGATCAGAGGAAACAACCTACAAGCTGTAGCCATGCACGACTGCAGAAACACCGAGTCACAGACGGTGCCAATTCAGGTTAATTCAGATCAACACAGTATTAAACAATGCAGTGCTTTGCTGACACAGGTTTCAGAGAAATGAGGCTGGATGGATTAGATAGTCAGATGGTCCCACATTATCTGATACTGTAGCAGGAGGAAGCAGCAACGTTTTCATCCTGATACCCGACACTGGGCCATTTCAGAACATTTCACTTCATGTGCAGTTATAATTATAGTGCAATTCAAAACTCAATAACCACAAAATTGAAAGCAAGGATTTAAAAAAAAAACTTTTACTATATTCTGAAGAGCTTTGATAACAGAAAAAGAATCAAACTCATGTAGAAAAATTCAGAACAGGCAGAAATTGGGCAATTTTGTTTCTTTTTTCCCATCTGGGTTCAGTTTTTGACGAAGCACTTTAGTCCAACGAAAAGCAGAGTTTTCTTCAGTGTTTTTCCTTTTAAAGCAAAAAGTTACTTTTGTGCTCATTTTAGATTTTTGATTAGGCTTTGCACCTGCTTAACAACTTAAAATCTTAAGTCATTTTATTACTTTATCAAAATAAAGAAATGTAGTTATATGGCTAAAATAATATCCATCTGCAGCAGGTTTTCTGAATTTATTTTGGCCATAATCTGTTACGTTTTACTGTATGAGGCTCAACGTACCTAAAAGCATTTTTATATCACCGTAGTTTATTGGTTTATTGTCACTATGACTATTGCTGTTGATTTTTGTCTTTGTTTTTTCATCCATACAACTTTGTTAAGTTTAATTAATGCTAAATGCAAATGAATCTGGATCATCTTCGTATTTTATTTTACCAAGCACCTGGTCCAGAGGTCAAAAAAACAAAACACTGAGCACAAAATATCTTCATTTGCTTTTTTTTTTTCTAAAACGGCATAAAAATAATTACCTAATCTCAGCGCAAGAGTGGAAAGAAGAAATTCAGCTTTAAAACCACCATCACCTAATGTCTAATTTATATATATATATATATATATATATAAATTCTAAAACATTATAATATTTATAACTTTTATGTCACTGTGGTGAAAAAAAAAACATTTAGACCATATAAAGACTATAAATCTGAAGTATGCTTTCCATTGGCGGAGGTATTTCAATAAATATACAATAAAATTACACAAAAGTAATCAAAGAAATGTAATTCATAATCAATTCACAGTTTACTGAAATTTAATCTCCAACCAGAGCTTCAGGATCTCATGCTCAAAACCAGCCAACATCTGAGATGTGATGAAATAAAACATTCACCGCCAATTTTTTTTACTATTTTTTTTCTCCCCCCCTTATCATTCATTCACAGTATCACAGCACAACAAGATGTCTTTTTGGATACAGTGTTGCTGGAGGATTCCCACCCACTGCTTTCCATGTGGGCGGTTAAGTTTGGCAAGTCTTCTCCTTGCGCTACAGGAAAAGTCGAGCAAATCCCTTCTTAAGCAGGAGCAGACACGGCCTCGTAACGCTCTCCACGTTTGTTTCGACCCCGCGCACTTTCAGCTCCCCATTTGAATGGAGTGGCGATGTAACAGAACTTAGCAGGCGAACTGGAACAGTCCACAAAATGTTGCTTTTCTAGTGTAATGTCAGCTTACTTTGGGATCTCGGAGGAACAGAGCTTTTTGCAGTAAAGCGTTGATGTCGCCTATGGGAGGGTAATGCATCAGTAATCCCAGGCAGGTCTGGAAGTTGCTTGCGATTACTAGAAAAACAAAAACAAGTGTAAAAAAATATGCATTTTTTTGCACTTTAATACAAGTTTAAGTAAGTACAAAACTGCACAAGCTGTAACAACCATCAATGTTTTGTCTCTTTTGTAGTGCAAATTTAAATGCAATGCATCTTCAGGTAACAATAGATCACTAAGAAAAAATAACCCAACCTGCCTATATGTATAACAGAAATAATGCATCTCTGCCTTCTGCTTCAAGAAATATGACCTCATCTGATTAAATGAAGCAGAGTAAATGTGATTCTTCAGCTCACAAATGTCTTATCAAATTACATGCCACAAAGGCCAACACATGGCTTCTTCACTGGAGGATCTGGGCAATAAATGGAGCGTACGAGCATCTCGGATGTAGAGCAGCATGGCCACGAAGACGTAGTCCACCAGATCCAGAGTGATGCTGTCGGCGAACAGAGCGTCCCACACCACCAGCAGGTCCTGGAGGGGAAATTCACGGCCGAACAGCAGGCGAACCCACCGGCTGAGAGGCGGGGAGAAAAAAAAAACTAAATAGGGCCGTCTGTGCAGAAAAGATTAAGGTTAAGCTGAAGGAGAGGCTACTGACATGCCGTAGATCTGCGGAGCGATCTCCAGCCGGTTCAGGTGCATGTGGAGCTCGATGTCGTGCTTCTTCACCAGCTGGTCCTGGATGCGGTTCACTTTGGTCACCACGGCGACCGACGGGCCAGCGTCCTGGGGCCGGGCGAAGGGGATGCTGGTGAGCATTTCTTCCTTACCCTGCGGAGAAACACAAACACATGAAACGGGCAGATTGACATGCATGACACCTGGCCGGTGAACAAACAGCTTGCGTTTCAGCGTCTGGTATTATTAGCGCTTAAACCTTTTCACATTTTGTCACATTGCAACTTCTGCATTTTTAATTAAAATTTTGCGAGATAAAACAACTCGCACTGCACAATTGTAAGTGGAAGGAAAATTATTAATTGCTTTTTCTTTTTCTTTAAAGAAATAATGATCTAAATAGTGAGACATGCATTTTAATGAGTGAAAACTATGTACAGTCATTATTTGTGTTTCTCTACCAGCTTTGTGAATCTAGAGATCGAATATCTTGCTGTTTTCTTTACAAAAAAGCTCAAACTCTTTCCGATTGGACGCTTGAAAACACCAGTTGGATTTGCAGAAACACTGTAAAATATAACTTATACGAAGATGAACCATTATTTCTGATAGGTTAATTTACAATTCAATTCTGCAGACAGCAGGACTTTATTAATAGATTGCATGGCTGTAATGTGTTAAAATGGAAATATGTTCAAAGTGTACTGAGAATGTGAAGAAGAAACAGAGTCAATGTTTTGTTGTTTAAATTAAAAACTATCATTATCATCTTCAGTCTTGTCTACAATAAGATTCGTGGCTGAATTTTTTTCTGTGCTGTTTACTTATGACTTAGATCATCTTTGTAGGCTCCATTTCTCTCAGAGCAGAACAGCTTGCCGTTCCAAAATTGCCAAACTGAGCGTGATCGTTTTATATGAAACTATGCACCAAGTAATGTAATTTTCACTTCACGGCCTCCACGTTCGTGGTATCGCTTTTAGACGCCACAGCAGAACCGAATCAGGTTACAGTTGGTCCAGCTTCCCACTTTCTACTGCAGTTCACTTCAGACGAAGTAAAAGCAGGCGGACGGCGAGCTTTTTCCAAAAATCCCATGGAACGGGTCTGTTTGATAATTCCTTTAGAAATCATTCTAAAAAAATGCATCTCTTTGTCTTTGTATAAAACAAGTATTGGAAACTCATACAGCCAGTCTTATGTCTGATGAAGCCTCTGCTTATTCTCTGGTAGCCTGCACATTAAACTGCATCTGCTGTTACCATAGCAACAGGCTGAGCGGCAAATCAAGCAGGGCCTCCGATTCAGGATTATTACTTAATGTCGGTGCAATCGAAACGCGGCACAATCACAGAGCGCCGCTCCTCGAAGCGCAATCACACTGACCTTCCTCACTTCCCTCTCGAAGGTGGAGAACCACGGCTCCGCCGTCTCCATCAGCTGTGAGAACATGGCGCTGGACGCAGAACGGGGCACAAGTGAGGCGCGAACACGAGAGAGGCAGGCGATGAGACGACAACACTTTCCACAAGCCAAAAAAAAAAAAAAAACCCTTAATGCGCTCTGCACTCACTCGTCGTGTTCGAGGTACGCAGGATCCAACAAGCATTTCATCTCGTCACTGCAAGGAAAACGAAAATCAGAATCCGCCGACTGCAGAGAAGCAGACGTTGAGCTGGAACTAAAGGGAAAACGGATTCAGCACACACTGACCTGGGGCTGGCCGTCTCGCTGGCATGTTGGAAGGCTTGATGGTCACAGTGCAGCACAAACACTATGGGGGCCAGCAACTCGTGCATCCCCTGCACACACACACACACACACACACAGATGGAGCTATAAGGGCAGCGATAGATGGAAGAGCATGCTTCATTTGTGATCAGACTTTTTAATAATGATGCACGAGGTTTCTAATTCCTGATGGCAGCTATAATTTAGATATTATTAGCCAATCTCCCGCCAAGTGTCACTTCCAGTTTGGAAAGTAGATGTTTTACTAGCCATCTATTTATTCGCTGGCACCTGTTACTGACACTGATAACGGTAAGGTTACGGAGGCATTTTGTTCTTCAGCTTGAGCTCCTCGAGGATGAGAGCCTCAACACAGACCAGGGTCGATACTACACATTTTGTTCCACATCTTTATAGGGTCCTTCTGGGTGCTTGTAGCCGTTTTGACAGAAAAAAAGAGCAAATGAAAGAGGGAGAAAGAGTGGAAGGAAGAAAAGAAAAAAAGACAGCAAGACAGAAAAGAAAAAGAGCAAGAAATGCAATTAAGAAAAGAAAGAAATAATAAATACAGAAAAAGAAATGAGTACAAAAGAGCAAGTGAGTAAAATAAGAACAGGAAAGAGAGAAAAAGAAAGCAAGAAGGAAAGTAACAGAGTACAAGTACGAAAGCGTAAGAAAAAGTGTAAAAAGGGAAAAGCAGTAAGAAACAGAGCAAGAGAAAAGAGAAAGAAGGAAAAGAAAAAAAAGAGATTATGAAAGAAAATAGGTTAAGAAAGTAAATCCTACACTTTTTAACCTCTTCATCCATCCAAACAATCATGATCATTGACACTATGACTCAGCCAAAGAAAGAAAACAAAAGGTGGCACCTGTTTATAGAGCAGCTGCTCGTTCTCTCTGCCATAACAGAAGAGAATGTCGGTCAGCTTGGTCCTCACGTCCTCGTTCTGGAAGTAACAGATCTCAGGGAACCTGAAGGAGGATAAGAACAAATGTGTGATTTCATGCTAGCAGCAGAAAATGTAAGTAAAGAAAACTAAACAAAAACAAAACAGAGAGACGGTTGCATACGTCCTAAAAACGTCCTGCTTGATCATCCCCTTCAGCTCTTTATCCTGGAAGAACTTGTTCCACAAACTCTGGGGACAAAAACAAGACACAAATTAGGCAAATCTGAAGGATCTGCGGCAGGAGAAATAAACGTGCCGCCACATTAATAAGTAACTGAATAAATTAATGGATTAACAACAGCTCATCCTTTTGTGAAGACAGATATAAATGACTAAAATGTATTTTGAAGTACCTCAGTATTTTAAAGTCTGAGCTACAGGGAGCCAGTGTAAGGACTTTAGAACTAGGATGATGTGCTCCATCTTCCTGTTATTGCATATTGATCTCTATAATCACTATAAAACACTTTATGTGCACCAACATCTGGCAGGTTGTCATAAAACTCATGTTACATATTACATTCTGCTTTCCAGCTGTTTACCACATAAAGATTTGACACAATTATTTAATAAGAACCGTCTAACAAGTAGAGCAGCAAGTGTCATTGGGATTCTGGGACCAACGCTGAAGGATTAGAAAGATAACTTTCTAAGAATATTCGCCCATTGACATCCAAGACAAAGACAAAACCCGAAGAAAAAGCACAAACTCTCACCCCCTCATCCTGGGACAGCGGATTGTTGACGACCAGGTCCTGCTGGCCCGCAGCTTTACGGGGGTTAGTGATGTGCTGTGACAAATGAACAATAAACATCGATTCTCTGAGACAGAAAGATGAAGGACTACAGTGCTTTCCACACACATTCTGGTGGATTTTGTTTTCTGGAAAAAGGGCCAGCTCCAATCACCGAGGGGATTTCTTTTTTTTCTTTTTTGCAAGGTGGAAGTGCAACGTTATCCCCAGAAAACTTGGGGCTGGGGCTGTCATTCATCCAGGAGCCCGTCGTGTTTTTGAGTTAAAAATTGTTTAGAAGAAATTTGGAAAATTAACACCTGAACACCAACTATAAAGTCTTAAACTTGCAAACATTTTTTAAAAAGTCATAAATAAATAGGCATTGCTTAGCCTGGTGGGGGCACAAGTAAAGCCTGGTGGCCCACCAGGCCTATAACTCACTGGGGGAAATCCTTAAGCGTAAACGCAGAACAAACATAAAAGACCTTGCTAAGATACTGGATGCTAAGAGAACTTCACTGTCAGCGAAACATGTCTTCGCTGAGGACAAAATAAAGGGCTTCATCAAGAACAAACACAATGTAGATGTATGAAAATAATTTCTAAAGACATTACCCAGGGAAGTGCTAACCTGGCTATATGACAGTGTCGTACATTAAAGGTCAAAGATTGATTACAAAACAATTTTAGCTATTTGCATGACACTGTGTATTTAGATATGAGGGAAAAAACTATGTAGTGATACAGCAGTAATAGTAAAAAACTAAACAAAAAATGAACTAAATCTTGAGCAGAATGGCAGTCCCACCATCTCTTTGATTTTCTCATACTGAGCCCGGTGCTCCTTGGTCCTCTTGATCCACTGGCCCTTGTCCTCAGGAAGGACCTCCAGGTACAGCTGCCAACACAGGATATCGAATTGAAACATGTCAAAATCCGACCCTCCGCGACCAAAAACCTTGAGCTTCTACTTTCCTCAAAAGTACTCTGTTCTATTAAAGTAGATTATTTCATCAAAACTCGATCAGACGGCCCGATCGACTCGACGGCTACCTTCCAGCAAACGCTCCGGAAGCGACTACTCCTCAGCCGACCGTTGACGCCAGCCTGCCGGATCCTGGCCAGGTAATTACTGTTGAGGAACAAGTCGTCCCATTCTTTTCTGCACGTCAGGAGAAAGGCGATTAGGGGTTTTGGGCCGCTCGACCCAAATCTGACGCATTAACTGATCATCAGTGTCCTCCAGAAGGGGAGAGGATCACGTAAAACAGACCTGTAGGAGAGGAAGGTGGACTGAGACTGGGAGGAGAAGCTGCCGTCAAGAGATCCTCCTGAAAGGTAACCACAAGAGGGAGGTGTTAGTGCTGGAAAGTGAAACAAAAATACATTTTTCTTTGACGATATATGTTTTTCTGTAAACTCCTAACAGAAGCTGCCTAAAAATATGACTGGTTCTTTTTTGTTCTCTGTTGTGGTCAATGGAGCAGAAACGGCCAGAAGCGGGGGAAAGTCATGACAGAAACCGAAGTGGCAAACTGCCTCTTGCTCTTTATTGGCGGTAATGCGTCTAATTTGGCCTGCAGGTAAACAAGCATTCAAGTCAGAGAGCTGTCTATCAGCGTTAGTTAAAGGAGTAGATCATTCCACAAAGAAGCTCACAATGAATATTCATCAGTTCCACAATATTTTCCTTTCTCTCCCCCCCATAAACCTAAAAACATCCTTCGCCCCGAGGCTCACCCCATCTCGCCTGTGACTCAAACCTCAGTCAGCTTTCATTTTATTTTATTCTGACTTGTACATCTGTCGTGAACCTCGATTGGCGAGAGACCCCCCGCCCTCTCATTAGGCGTCTGCCGGTTTAGAAACGAATCAAATTATTTCGGGGTTTGACGTACTGCTGCGATTTTTGTTGAAATTGTGAAGCGGGTCGAAACCGGTCTCCTGCTGCTCGTCTGTCTGGAGCGGGTGGCGGGTCTCAAAGTTGGGGTGCTGCATGACTGCGGCCCAGCTGGACTAGAATGAAAAAAGTGAGGCGGAAACAAAAACTGTTTGACAGTGCAAATTAAAAATATCCAAACTCCTTGAAGCTTTTCTTGTTCATTCACATTACGACCTGAAACTCAACATATTTTATTTGCGCTTTATGTAACAGACCAGTACTTAAGGTAGTGCATAAACGAGAATGGTAGATTTATCTTGTTCTTGACCAGGAAAAATAAACTAAATCTGGCATACATTCATATGAATTCTTAGCCAATCTCTCTAAAGTTGCTTTAATTTTTTGTCGTAAAACAAAAAGAAAAAGTAAATCTGTTTCCAGTTCCTACCCCATGTTGGTCATTATTTATTAGATCAAAATTACAGTTAAATCTATTTCAGTTTGTGTTTGTAGTAATAGTAGTTACTATTTTTGCAAATTACTAAGATGAGTCAAAAACTTTCAGGATATTTCACTAAACTTCACTAACATTCCTCATCATGTCTGATCAAGTAGATTTAGCAAAACCTGAGCTCTGCTTTGAAAGAAAAAATAAAAATCAGATCTGTTCTAAAAAAAAAAAAAAAAATCAACTTTTAACTTGTTTGAGCGCTTACTGACAAAGCTGCAAGATTCTCCCAGGTCAAGACTCAGAAGGCCAGGATGTTCCTGCAGGAGGAAAGTGTCACATCAGTAATGCGTCGACAAAAAGGGAAGCCAACCAAAAGAAAAAAGGCTGCGCCATCTTCTTTGAACTCATATGGACTTCACAGAACTCTGACAGCAGTTACAGTCGGTGAGGAATGACTGAAATTAACAAGAAGCACTGGAGATGTCTGAGGTTCCACCGAGCTCACGCTGATATATGAAGAGAGTCGACAAAGTTAATGAAGTCATTAGAAAAGCAAATAAATGTATCACTTAAATGTTTTGATGCCAGACTTTCCTTCTACTAGGAAGTAAACAGAGGCGTTTTTGAAATACGAGAACTATAAGACGTTCTTTATTAATCCAAACTAGTATATAGTCAGACTTAATCGACAGCATTTCTTATGAATAGGAGACATATTTTCCCCCTCGCCTCTTTACCACTACTTCAAGATGAAACCTAAAAGGAAGGGCGGATTTCGGCTTCACCTGGAGAAGTGTCTGCATTTTGGGCAGCAAAGGATCAAAGGAATTATGGCAACACCAACTTTTGCAAGCAGGGAGAGAATCTGGGTCATTGAGAAGGAGCTGGGTAGAGAGCCAGGAGCCGACTTCCCCGATGAGGTATGTTGATACATCCAAACAGAAGGCCACCCTGAGGCAAACCTTCTCTTGCTGCTTTTAGGTTACAAAACAAGTTTGTGCAGAGCCAGCTTCACTCTCGATGGCAATGTGTGAACATAGATGCTCCAAAGTCACACTTTCCAGAGGTACCTCGAAATTTTCTAACTGATTATATTTCTTCTCTAACAAATATGATGAACATAATGTTAGCCTTCGGTTAGAGTTGTAGCTCTAAACAGTACAGAGCCATTCAATAAATTAGATTATTTAAAAAGCCCATTTGTTTTAAGGAATTTTGCCACTAAGTGAAACACTTTATATAGATTAAACACAGATGGACGCTTGAAAGCCTTTATTTTAATTATGATGACTTTCCACTTGCAGTTAATGAAAAGTGACATTTAAAATGAGATTAGACCAATAAAAAAAAAAACTAGATATTTTTTAAAAAATAGCAATGTGAGCTTATCAATAAGCATGTTTAACACCTGATGAAAAGACTTTTAATGGGTATCTATTAACATGTTGAATAAATCTAGAATGTGTACGATCAAAAAATGCTCTTTGCACCCCAGCTAAACAAATAACGCTGATTTTCAAATTCAGGAGGTCGACACGCAACTCTTCAGGAGCAGAAGCTCTTTCCAGTGACAATCGCATACAATAAAATATAATAAAAGAAATATATGTATATGCATTTACACTCAAAGAAAAATAGTGGCAATGTGTCAATACATGTCGATGACAAATTTCCAAATGAATCAAAAGAGGAACTGCTTTTATTTAGAGGAATTGTGATTAGATTGAGGAACTTATTTAAGTGGCTTAGTGTATTAAACAAGTGGCAATGTTTGTGTTTTTATTGCCCACTGCTTCAAAATCTATATAGTCCTGCAGACGGGGGGAGGGGGGGAGTAGGCGCTTTTTTACTTGGTTCAAGCAAAAAACATTATTCAGAAACCCTGTTCTAAATCACCTTTCGTCGTCACATTTAAAAATCGAACATACTCCAAGATGTGCTACGAAGTGAAAAATAAATAGTGAAGTTCTGAGTTGCAGGCAAAAAGGCAAATTTCCAAATTAACAAGCGCCAATGTTTCAGTAGGAAGCGTCTTTGGTTGAAATAACACCAACTTCATAGGTTGTAGGTTAAAATGCGAGTATCACCTGATTCCATGAAAACCTTCCAGCATGAAACGATGGGAAAACCTCAACATGTTCACTGTTCAACAACATGGCATCTTCCAACGTAAAGTGTGACAGACGTCATTATTTAGAGGTTAAGATGTCAAGTTTGGTACTTGATGTGCCACTCACAAAATTAGATTTTTGTTCCATTCTTATTATTATTATAAGTTCAGACATAATGCCAGACCTCAAGTCTGAAATCTTTGTTTTTGTGGCTGAAGAGGAGCTGTTGCATTTCTGCTGTAAATATTGTTATGTTAGAGTATTTTACAGCAATACTTCTTTTCTTTGCTCTAAAAAATATCTAAACAGGAAAAATCGTTTGGTTTACTCAGCAAGCATTTATCAGTGTGGCCGTTATCCAAGTTATAAGGTCACATCATTTGATTTAGCAGGTTTTAAAAAAAGCACCGAATCACAAGCAACCTAACAGACCGAAAGAAAACTGGATTAAAATACCAAGCAGGTAAACCATGAGTCCATTCATCCCTGCCGAGTTCTTAGAAGAGTTGAACTTTGTCTTCGAGACACTCTAGATTAACCCAGTTATTTATCTTTCATTCGCTACAAAATTTAAAGATTATTCCGTGTTTATGATAATGCTTTAACTAAAGCTAAGCTCTTGCAGAATAGCAGCACTGATCTGCAGAGCACAGTCTTTCTTTCACAGACTTTCCCCTTATTAATTGTGGAAAGAACCAAAACAAAGAGGCCTCTTAAAACCTATTAACCATGTGGATGAAACACAGCTCGACAGATTGGCAAAGAAATGCCGGGAATATAGAAATGACTTCGTATGAATAATGCATGGCTCTGTTTTGTTAGAGAACATCTGTCCCACTCAGAGACTAACGCTCTCCTTGAGCCGGCTAATTTCTTTTTTTCTCCCTCCCAGTAAATGATCAGAACTAATCCACAACTAGAGAGCAGAGGAATGCTGAGAAAGGTACTGCCTAAGGTTTTTTTTTTTTTTTTTTTTTTACATTTCTTGAACAATATAACAAGCTGCAGACACACATTGTGCTTTTTCATTTTCTCTCCAAAACTAGACTTTCTAAGGTTCGCATGCGTCTGTCATTTGGACGAAAGATGCACGTTTAAAGGCATGAGGTCTTTCTGCGTTTCCACAATCTGGTGTAAAGTAACGCCTCTGCTGTAAAACGACAACTGAACACTGGAAAACTTTGCGAATACTCAACGCAGTCTGTGTATTATTTAATCCCCTGTAACTAGAGTAACTTCAATTATTCACAGCAAAGATGTTTTATGAGACAGTCAAATCAATTCATAATGAACTGCATGAATAAATTAATAGACAAATAATAGTCCATCTGTTTCAAGGTATGTTTTTCGTTGCAGAAATGTTTAAGCAAAAGGACTGAAATGCAAAAAATCCAGATTGCTTGACTGATTGTTGCAGTTCCACAGGGAAATTAAGCACTGCTCTTACACATTTTTTGTGATTAACAGCATTTGTGTTGTTCCCTGAAATCATAGATGACTAAAACCAAAACAATCAGGTTCGAAAATGCCATTCAGAGAGACTCTTAAATTAAATTGTCCAAACCGAAACACTCATCCAACTTCGGTCACAGAGAAAAGAAAAACAGATTTTTATTATTATTATTATATTTCTAATAGATTCACTCAGGATAAAAGGCTAATAAAACTCTTCATTTGAATGCTTTTTTTATGGAACTGCTGGGAAAACTAGTCTCAGGTTGAAGGTAGCTGACATAAAATTTCAACAAAGGAAAAAAAAAAAAACACTTAACACTTTCATAATAATGAAGACCGGGGTTTATGGATGGATTGTAAGATACAGGAAGTAATAATTGGGCATATTAGCCACTTTTTGTGTCTGCACAGCAGGACACAAAGGCAAGGTAAACAAGAGACGCGTTTGCCGAGCGCTAGTCTGACCTCACTTTTCAGTGTGAATTGGAAGGACTCGTGTGGTGATAATCATAAGGTTTGTTGATGTCCATTTGGTTCTTTTGGACCAGCTTCCGGCATGAAGGCAAGGCGAGCTTTAAAATGCTGCAAATTCAACACTGAAGAAGTTTTTCTGCCGTGTCTTTCACACAACTTAAAATCCTTCTAACAAGATGACACACAAATTCCAGTGTGATCAGAGTCTGTGGCACACACTGCAACAATGTCATGCAATACTTGAATAGTTGAGGTATGGAAATGAATTAAAGGCACAAATCACTCAGAGGTAATATTCTAAATTTATATGAAACAACATCTGGATGACAAATCCACTTGAAATTAGCTATCTTGTTAGCATCAGAGCTATTTGTCATAAGAGCAAAAGGAAGGCTGACATGAAAACTCGTGAAAAGAAAACTTGCAAAAAGTCGTGCTGCCAAATGTAGCAGGAGTTTATTAATGATGCACTGATCGAGCCTTTTTTTTGTCTGAAAGTTAAAGCTGTTGGTTGATGTATTCGTACATCAAAAATTTGAGAAACTCCAAATTTTTTACCCATTTAATAAATAGGAGTGAGGGAGAATCTAACTTTTCTGGTCCACTGATCAGAGCTGATCAATGAAAAGTGGAAAATTCTGACCTCGGGTTGATTGATTGGGAAAAAAAAAAAGAAAAAAGCCCACTATGTATTCACCAGAGTGAATATATAATAAAGATAACAACATAACTGCAACAATGAATATAATATTTTAGAGTGCAGCAGTGGCAATAATTATATACCTTGCTTTAATAATGTAATTGTATCACGTGAAACAATTCAGGTTTTGGATTCATATAGGTATCAATACAGGGTGAAACCGTTGTAGTTTTACAGGAAGAATTACTTCCCATGTCTAGTACAGAATCATCTGAAAACAAGAGGAAGAGTGGATGTAAGCACACGTTTTTTAAATAAGAAAAAAGAAAATAAAAATATTGGCCTCACTTGCTCTCAAAACAATTTCACGTCTAAAAAAGATGCTTTGTTTAAGGATTCACATCGATTTCCTTTCCACCTGACCTCCTATTCATTCCCCAGTAACAAAAGAGGGAGCACATAACATTATTTAAAGTAAGAGAATATTCCAGAGTCACTAAGGAACAATATTAGACGTCGAAGAATAAAACAAACTAATTAGCTGATTCACTTAACCCTGAGAGAAGGACATATGATGCTGATAAGAACCTACAAGCTAAAAGACTTGCATAAATCAGCATAACAAAAACACATTAAAGTGTTACGTTCCTCGCTGCCATAAGGAAACAAAAAGGCCAAACTATTTTCGGAACTACAGCCAGATTAGTCAGTCGAATTAGACAAATCGGTTTAATATGAGATCCACTTTTGCCAGGGGAGACTGCTGCAAAATGAAAACCAGTGAACATGCACGATGAGAGGAGCTGCGAAAACTTAAGAAGGTGGCCTGTGGATCAGTCAAAGAGAAACATCCCGGCTAAACAAACTCACATGTCTTTAGTTCAGCACATAGCGAGAGCTCAGGAGCCTTTACAGTCACATGCTCTGCAAAGAGCTGAGAAGTTACTCGGAATCATGGCCTTTACAAAATACCATGAAGTCTCCAAGTCTTGACTGATTCAATTAGTAGACGTGTGTGTTTCCAGGATGAACTTAAAGACTAGTAGGCCAACTTTAAAAAAATGTTTTTAAAAAGTAGATGGGGATAGTTTTTTCTCTCCCAACTACTTTATTAGGGTTCACTCAATCGTTTTAGCACATGCATCATGTCTCTGCTGTGCAAAGGAGACAATGAAAGGATTCTTTTGCTGAACCGTTGAAAATGCTCAGTAATCCTCAATACCAGCTGCGGATGACAAATGACTTTTGAACAACAGTATAAAAAAAAAAGAAGAAAAAAAAAAGTTAAACAGATTGAAAAGTTTTGCCCACAAGTTAAATCTGTTCTTATTAGAGAAATCATATCCATGAGAACAGGGTTACTGGAGACCATTCTGCTTCACTGGAACCAATTGGCAATCAGCAGGTCGTAAGCTAAACGTCCCACTTCTTTGCGAACAGTGAATGCAACACATGAGAACATTAGCAAGTTGCACTGACAGCTGATGAGGGCAGTAAATGGAGAGGACTCCTGAACATTTTCAGCATCAGAGAAATGCTGAATTTGGTCAAAAGATGTGCGAGATTTCTAGAAAATGAACTGCATTTTCTAACTGTGCTCTTCAGCTGTTCTATTAGGACATCCCTTTGAAAAAGAAAGAGGCTTCAGCAGAAACCAGGAGACTTGTGCACACAGCAAAGCTGTTTTAACCCTTTGAATAACAGAATTTTGATCATGCAACAATATGAAATGTTGGCAGTCTGCTGAAAACCTCACAGCTGAGGTTATTGTCTTGATCAGTGATTAGGAGGCCGTAGTGATGAGCAACCTGATATTCTAGACGCCTTTCTATAAATTCATCAAAAATAAGAATTCCTGCACATCTAAAAGTTGCAGGACGGCCCTTGAGGACTGGAGTTCACAGAAAACAGATTGAAATCCAACTGTACGCAATCTAGGTAGCTTCGAGTCACAAACTAAAGAACAAGGACTCCAACTCAACCCAACTGCGACACAGCAGCATGCTACACATGTCATAAAATAACACACACCGAGTGCAGGATGCTCAGTTGTCACTCTGCGCTGTGGGAAAGTCGCAGCCATCACTCGGACATTACAAAAAACCGAGCGGCAGCTTGGCTGACATGCCTCCATCTGCTCCGCTGCAAAACGAAGGACAAACGAGTTGAACAGCCGCCGAATGTCGCTGTCAGCGGCCGCGGAGCAAGAACCGAGACGGCGGCGCGGCTAATGTCGCTAGCCGGGCTGTTAGCATGTGGAGGAACCAGCGCACGGGCCCGAGTCGCTACTTCCGACACACACGGACAACGAGGCGAAGTTGAAACACGCGCATTTCCTCCTCTCGCGAGCCAGGGCAGCCACGGCCACGTGAACACGAGGAGTTAAGGAGGTGCGGATGTCGCTCACTTACCTGTCCGGATCACGCAGGGACCCTCATTCTGGCGCTGTGAGACTGGCTGCTGGTTTGTAAACACTGGCAGGTCAGGCGGGTGTGCTGGAGGTCAGCTGACTGGTCACGTGACCAGCGGAAAGACGCTCATCATATGTGACGTTTCGTGCAGCCCGAAAGGAAATACTGGGTTGTTCTTTTGTTCAGATGTTTGATGCTTTCCATGGTTTAAATTATGTTGTGACAAGTTTCAGCTGCTGACACTGCTAGAGTTGACAGGGACAAACAAGTGCAAAAAAGAAATGCTCCATGAAATATAGTAATATATCTACTTCAGTTGCAGGAACTGTATATGCTAAAAGCCACATTGTTCAATAAAGGATGAACTGGGAATTTGTCATCTGTAATAAAAAAAAATAAATAATAATAATAATAATAATTCAGATAAGAATAAATTAGGAGAGTTTGGTTGTCCATGTTTTTCTGTTTTTCCAGAACATTTAATGTTAAAATTGCCCACAAGTTTACAGTTAAGGCTCATCCTCAAGTGATTTTTCATTCTATTTCCTCTGCCTTAAAGCATTGTCCTTCCACTCTTGTAAAGAAATTGCTGGATCATTAAAGGACTTGGTTACTATATTGATCAGAACCAATAACCATGGTTCTTCACCACTGATTGGTAATTGACATACCTATTCAGAAACTTTTCTCCTCATTTTTTCCCCCCATTTTTTCTTCTTTCAATGTACATATAATCAATATGTCAATACTGAAATTCATTCATCCATCCAGGGGGTAAACAGGTTCAGGAATGAAGTATTTAACTCTTAGGTATATTTATATTTCACAAACTTTGTTTTTATGGAGTACCTTTCAACAAATAATCAATTTCCCCTTGGGGATCAATAAAGTACATCCCAATCCATTCTAAACCTAAACATCTTTCTCCCAAAACACTGTGGTGTGTTCTGTCAGTGTCTTCAAAATGCTGGTGTGGTGATGTTTCAGGGATAAGACTGCAAAGTTTTATCTGCTGGATGTACGCAGTATCTAATCTGTTTCCAGTTAGAACCATGACTTAGAGAGATGACTCCTGTCCCAGCCATTCATCACTCTGTTGTGAACCTCTCCAGGGAATGCTGAAGGTCACATTCAATGGATGCCAGCAGGACTGTCATCTGCCAAAAACACAAAGGTGCAACCCTTTGTGTTTGATGAGGTTCAAATCCAGTCTTGTCTTCATAACTACACGTTCTACCCAACAGAATTCAGCCTCCTCTGGATTATTTTTGCATGCTTGGACCCAATAGCCAAAAGACGCTGTTCCCTTTGAAACTAAAGTTCGAAAATAATTCGTTTTTTTATTTTTTATTTTTTTTGTCTTTTATCCCCAGAAATTTATTTTCCGTGTAACTTGAGCGTAATTTCCACAGTTGTTTTAAACTCCCTCTGCCAAATAGGCCCAGCAGAGACGATAACACTCTGCTGGGCCAATATGTATTTAGAAGAACTACCTTCCACTAAGAGGAATGTCTGTCTTTAGCACTCATCCTACAAACCGAGCGGTATCTTTGTGTCATTAATCACTGCCTTTTCTGAGGTCAAACAAGTCAGGCTGACGTGCCTTTTAAAACAGCTTCATCAAAGTAACGCCTCCAAACACGAGGACACTGGCAAATGGCCACAGCAGGACAAAACTGAAATCTCTGATACTTCATACAGATAATTGTGTTACACATCATTACTCCTTTAAATGTTCCCGTTGCTCCGCATGGTGGTTAGAAGCATAAATAATGACCGTCATTGCTATTGCCATCATTATCAGAGGCAAGGCAGTTCAAGAGTGCTATTATCATCATTATTACAGCTAATATTTCTGATGATGAGGCTTTCATGGCCTTTCGCTGGCCCTTCCTAAGGTATTGTCATGGAAACAGACGACAGCAAAGTGCACAGCATTGCTAAATTACCCTGTGAAGCTATTTATGACCAAATGGGGCTTGAATGTTGTTCTCGTCTCTGTACACTAAAGAAGCGATGAAGCGGCCAGCCTGAAGGAGAGACGTGTGAGAGTCGGGGGGCATGAAGGCAAGAAACCGACCCAAGAATAAAACAACTGTTCCAGGACTTGAAACGAGAGACTAAAGAGGGAGAAAGCACTGAAGGCACTGAAGGGCATGTGACCAGAGAGACACAAATACTGTTTAATGACTGAAAACAATGACACCAATTCACAGAAACACCAGCAGCCATGTAACAAAGAAAATAATTGGTGCTAAGAAAACAAGCAGAGCATTCAATTCAACTGTTAAATCCCCAATAAATCTTCGTGAGCACAATATAAATAGTCCCTGCTGAACGAGCGTCATTTGAATCGTTTCTTATTGTGATCCAAATGTTGCGACTTGCAGACTTTGCTGCAAATCAGTTGCTTCACATCCTCCTAACTACGACCAAACTATGCAAACCAAGGAGCATTTGGTGGCAGAGCCTCATAAACATTTATGAGAATAAATGCATGTTTTATTGCAGCGGCTTAAGCTCCCACTGGAAAAAAAAAAATCACAATTTAATTTGAGAGTATTTAAACTAAATCATCGATGGCACAGTCAATAATCTTTTTGCAAATAAATGTGGCTTTTAATTGATAAGTATTTAACACTAAATGTAATCCACGGCTGTCCACTTGTTATTGATGCAAACAAAATTGTACTTTAAATCAGATCAACAGATCGTGATAAATGATATAAGCTTTGAAGTTTACATAAATATTAATCATTTTTTGCAACACTGAACAATGAATGATCTAAATAAAAGCATTTGTTACGCCTTTGACATTTGTCTCTTTGTTATTTGTTAGCTGTCCACTCAAATGTCAGGATGGTCTCTGTGGAAACTTTAAAAGTAGGCTATCGCTCCAGTTAAAATATAATTTGAGAAACTTGCAAATGAATGCATGGATAAGTATACTGTGTCAGCTACAATATGTTTGTAAGCAAACTGGTTCTTCAATAAGCACAACGAAACAGTAATGGGCTTTTTGGCGTTTTCAGAAAAGATACTCTGCTTGATTTTTTAAATTCCTCCAGTCAGCACCATCGTGAAGTTTCATGTTTGCTTTGTGCTGTTTCACTCAAACATGTTCAACCATCTTCATTTGAACAATGTTAATTCCCCAACCTCACAGGACTGTGTAGAGCTGAATTGTATTGTGTCAGTCAACAGATGACGAGAAAAACAAAAATCAACTTTTAATAAATTGGACAAATTAAAGCCAGATCACAAGAGTACTTTCAAACATATTACAAATCTCTGTGATGGTAAATAATGAAGAGGTAAGGACAGACAGAGGAAGGCAGTGCCACTTTCAAACAGGCATTATTGGTCCCGACAACTAGCAACAATTAAATCCTTTTAAACATTAAGAAGTTGAGGTTTGTTGAATCGGTTCACCTTCTTTGACAGATATACTATACATGCATGAGCCATTTACAAACATCAGAACATTTAGTCTTTTAACCTCCTGTTTCAGGGCAAAAAATAGTGATGGAAATAGGGTTTGATAGGGTAATGTGTTAAAAAATAAGTCTAAAAAATGCGATTTCTCTGTCAGATTAGCCCCAAGATTTCATTCATTTTGACATAAAAAGACATCTCATGCATGACAGCAGTATTTTATTAAACACGGATCCTTTTTTGGATCTGTTGCTGGGGTTGGAATAATTGTCTGCCAAATTTGGGTTCAAGTTTTAGATACTGTATAGCTTCACTTTTGATTGTCAAATTTTCTGTGGCAGGACCTCAATGTTGAATCAAAAAAGCACAAATCATGGCTCTCCTACCTCTGGACTTAAAAAGTTGGCATTAGGTATTTGTGTTGATAGTTCGGTTTGCAAAACCTTTTAATCAAGCCAATATCAAACTGGTGTACTATAATACACCCTAAACTTTAACAAAACACCTTGTTTCTGTTCATTTTGGAATCTTTAGGTGTACAAATATTAATAAAATTTGATGTATTATTTGGCTTGGTTTTAATATGCAGTGAATATGATGGACCTCAAGTCCTACTCTCTAATAAACAATATGTTAGAATTGCACAGCTGAGTGCATTTTTAAAAACAAAAAAGCTGTGATAGGTGCAAAATAGAAATTTAAAATATGTCATGTTACTTCAGTATTCCGACAATTTAAATGTTGCAAATCAAAAATTAAACATCGACTCAGTCAGATGTAAAAAAAATAAATAAAAAATGAAACCAGTTTTCTTTTAGTATTTATTTGATTACTTCATATTTCCTGCGCTAAATGTCTTTTATGAAATTATTTAAACACCCACTGTGGCACTAGAAACAACTTGCATAATAAATCAACTAAAGACCAATCATCTCAAAGTAACTCTAAATGCGATCTTTGATGGACTATTTCTGCATTTGTTTTTGTATTTAATGTATTTCCACAAATAAATACTTGTATGACAACTTTTTCACTTATCGTACTGTGAAAGTTTTGGTACTTGATAGGCGAGGACCAGAATACTTTTAATTGTGCTGCTGCATAAAGCCTTAGAATTAAAATAGGCAGTTCTTCCCTTTTAACATGACTTAACACAGTTTCTAAGAATGCAATACAGTCCTAAAATACTTCAAGAAAGTGCAAAAACAAAAAAAAAACAAAAAAATCACAGCTAGTTTCTGACTGCACCAATAACACTGGTTAATGTAATAGGAGAAAAAAAAACATGTATAAATACAGCAGAGCATTTTTAACATGCTTCAAATGTCAACAATAAACGTTTACTGTGTGTTTTTTTTTTTTTTGTCCTCTGTGCGATCAACTCTGGAATTTTTGTTGTTTAAACATCGGCAAGAAAATATTATCCAGATGTGGTTGCAACAACAAAGAATGTCCAGAGCCACATATATGTACACTTTCCAGAAGTCATGTCATATGCATTCCAAGTAATATTCTACTGTGTGTAACAGTACATGCCTATTATCTTGTATCAAAACACAGACAACTGCATTGAAATTAGATGCATGAGTGGCCAAGTTATTAACTCGTGGACATAATAACAATTAGATCTGTTATGGGCTCACAGAGACAATATTGCTTG